CATCTCCTGGGTCCCTTTCCCTTCTGCAAAAGATCTATCTCCCTATTTCCAATTATCTATCTTTTATTGATTAAATTTTTTTATTGTAACATGACAAAAGAAAGAGGAGTAATAGTCTCTAAATGTTTACAATTTCACTTACTTTCTTCAATAGGATTTAATAGCATCATTTAATAATTCCTTACACTTAATAATCATCATTCATAGAAAGTTATTTTTCTTATGCTTAGTCACTTTGAACTAACTTTTTTCAAAGATAGTTTTTATTACCTTTAGCTCCTTTTTTCTAAAGTCTTTTACTCCTAATACTTAACTTTTTCTTTTTGAAACCTTTTCCAAGAATATAGAGACATGAGTCATTTTTGTTGCCTTGCAGAGATTTTAAAACTTAGGTGAGAAAATGAATCACCTGGTGTTTGTTGAGGGGTGGGGAGTTAGTTAAGGGTTCCAAGAACCCCTTCCCTACAGTCCTGATTAGAGATGTCTGCAGTTAGCCAGGATCTGCATTTTAATGGTCTGCGCCCACCACTTTGTTAGGTTTGGCATCACACAATCCTGAACATCTTGAAAACATTCATGTAAAATTAGCATGGGTCAGAATTTGATATACAGCTCTAACTTTGTTTTCATTTCACCATGTTTCCACCCTTCTCTGACATTTTTAGATCTAGTCAGTCTGGAAAACATATGTACCTTATCACACAAGTGTTCAGTTTCTCTTCTTGGATACCCCCCCCATACACTTGGAATACTCTTATTCCATGAAAGTTATATCTTGATTCTTCATTTTCTACATGAATGCTCAAATCACTATGTACATAATTCTTTCAAAGTAGTTATTACAGTATATCACAGTTATTGATTCATTCTTTTGTTTTTCAAGTCAATTTTACCTATGCATCCATAATACATAGGACAGTGGATATCACATGTTTTATAATCAATGTTTGTTGATTACAGAACTGAATCTTTATTGCTAAAATGATCTCCAGGGATACTTGGAAATGAGGGAGGAAAACAATTACCATCTTAATATAGTTTTCTTGGCATATACAATCCTAATAGTTTTAGAGTTAATAATCCTTAATGATTTTTTGCCCACAGAAATTTGAGTCCTATTTAAACATTTTTTGAAAAATTACTTCTGAGAGCCCTCCTTGTTTTGTAAAACTGCCTTTGATTATATGATATCCTTCTTCTCATATAGATAAGCTTGGCCTTTGAAAGTGATTTCCTCAGATAATAAATTCTAAAAATTAATTTTATGTCACATTAGGAAATTTAAAGACATTTTCCTGGGTGAACTAAACCAAGTCTGTATTTATTTACTAAATGCTTACAATCTGGGAAAAAGCTAGGTGAAAGAGCAGTTCAATTCATGGAAACCCAGTTTGTTAGAAAGGCCAAAGTAGAAACTTGGAAAAAACTTGTATGGTGAGGGACTAAAACACAAAACAAATTAAACAAACAAGGCACCAGTTCCCAATAAGTGACGCAAAAGTCATGGGTGACTCTTTAGCAACAAAGAGGCTTTCAAGTATGAAAGTCCTTGTTCCTCAGTGTGGGTTAATCATATTAAAATCAATAACCTCTTCTCAAGTGTCTCAGACAAAGAACTTGCCTAATCATTTGCAGCGTGACTCAGTGCTTAATCCTTATCACCAGTGGTTACTTCAGGAAAGAGCGTGTGACATGATTGTTGTGTAACAGAGAAGTTTCAGCTTACTTCAGAAAACAATCTTTGTTACAGACTCTCATGAGCTAATGGACATCACCATCACCACCTAACATTTTGAAAACTGTCAATGACTATCTCCAAAATAATGATCCCTTTATTCGCTCATCAGAAAACCAGATATTCTCAAAGCTGATGTCCCTCCTTCCCTCATTCTTTCCTTTTTTCTTCCATAGTTGGGTCTGTGAGTGTTCAAGTGGTCTTTATGTAACTGAGAAGATGGCTGGCAATTTTTATCTTTAGATATAACAACTGCAATTTATTCACTTGCAGCCTCCTCAGCAGTTCTAAACAAGTATAATTTATGTTGTAACATTAGTGTATAATTAAGGGGAAAAGGCTTGGAGCTGAACTATACTCATTGATATTGATTTTGATACATGGCATGTCTGAACACAAGATATTCCCAGCTCCATTAACAATTCTGTGGTCTTGTAAACCTGAAATGCTGCCCCAAACTCTTTATGTAACCAGCATAGATTTAAATCACCCTTACAAATTAGTGAGGAGCCTCAACTTCCCCCAAACCCATTCTAGTGCAGATCAGCCCATCTATACTCCAGGGATTTCCTTTTTTTTTTTTTTTTTTTTAATTTTTTGGGCACCGGGGATCAAACTTGGGACCTTGTGCTTGCGTGGCAAGCGCCAGAACCACTGAGCTAAATCCCTGGCCCAACTCCAGGGATTTCTTAATTACTTGAGTACTTACTCCCTTCATTTCTAAATTGGCATATGTCTAGATTCCCTAAGAGGCTGTACATTGCCCATGTTCCATAGCCAGGCTATGCACTATTTGCTTTTATCTCTGGTACCATATTAACTTAGTAGCCACCAATACTCTATTCATAAGCTTTTTAGAAGTTGCATGGAATTCTTTGAAATTGCATTAGTAATTTTGAATTTTGATGTCCTCAGTAAGACCAGCCCTAACAATTACCAAGTAGATAAAGATATTTTAAGATCCCAAATAAGTAGAAAATACATTAAAGTGTAGAGTTAAAAATAATTCAGTCTTCCTAATAAATACATAGCTACTTATCATGGGTCCTCCCTCTTCAGGTGTGGAATCATACATGACTCTGTAAGTAGGTTATTTGGGCAAGTTAATCAAAAAACATTTTTCATTTAAAAGAACATGGCTACTCACCTGTATCATTAACCAATAAAAAAAATTCTATATAAGATAGAGAGTACACCTTAAATACTAGTTTGGATGAGTTTTGTTTTCTAGATTTAATAATTATAGGTCCAGTATGAAAACAACCTTATCACGATACCATCTTTTTCAGATAAATCATTTTATCAAAAATATAAAACAATTGAATTTAAAAATAGGGATACATTAGTATATATCTTTCAGATCATTTAACATCATTTTATAGATCAGAAAAATGGAGGCCCAAGAAATATAAATAATTTACTTTGAATTACCTAATTTGTCAATAATAAGAAAGACCCAGCACACCAGTGCTCAGCCCTCTATGCAACTTGTTACACTTCGTTGTCTCCATTACAGCACGATATCTGTATGTATTATTAAATTATAGTTTAATACATACAAAATGGATAAAAACACTGAACATCACTAAAAATGAAACATGCACATGGAGATAAACAAGTGCATGCACCACGCATTCCATGATAGGCTCTCTGAACTGCCACAAGCGCACAACACAACCGTTCTTAACTCACGAAGTTTAAAGATGATTGTGTTCCAAGAGTTTGTAAAATATGAGCATTTCTTACCTGGCAGCTGTATGAAGGGTTGATAAAAGACATTAAAAACTTGAGCTATGATTAAATATCGGACTTTTCTAGCACTGAAGGTTTGCTTCTACCTGGGTTTAGGGGCATAATACTTTTAAATGAAAAGTAGATCAGAGACTTGAGAGGGATAACCAACATATAAAACTTTAGCATCATCATTCACATTGTCATATTAGGATGAATACCAGGGATTATTGCCCACATCTTCCTATTGGCTTGTGTGGCGATACTTTTCCTCATCAGGACTAAAATCTTTACAATTATAATCAATTCTTTAAATTAGGAAGCTTAGGATGGGAAATAACTACAGAATCCCTCATTACTCCAAATCTCAAGGGTCAATATCTGTTCCAGTGTTTTTAGTATAAAAGCACATAATTTTGGAAGTAAGGGTAATGTGATCTACATAGAACAGAGAAGCTGTTCGTAAGAAAGGACTCCATTAAAACTGTCCCAGTTCTTTAAAACCAGTGTTAACACAAGGCTGTTTAACTTGGGATGTATTCTTTGAAAACCATGACTGATAGTCTCATAAATACCCACGATACATACCAAGATGCATTCATGCCACCCCATGAAAAGCATCAGAGCCTCACAACCTGAGGAGCAAATCTTTCTAAAATTATTCATCCTGATGCTTCAACAGCTCTTAAAAATTTAACCAATCCTATGAACTGCCTTTGACCTTTTATACAAAACCATACATTTTAACATGTTTAATAGGTACCCAGGAGGGAATAAGGAAAGTAGCAAGATACACATTCCAGCTGATCTTTCCCTTCTAAGTACTAAGGCACATAAACAGACTAATCAGTAACTGAAACCCCAGTGAGAACAAAGGACAGTATCTCTTCACACCTCTTAACTACCAAGAAACTGTATAAAACAATGCATAGTGACTGTGCAACAACAACAAAAAGGCTGCATATTTTAAAATGACTGTGTCCTTGAACTTGAAGAAAATAAAATTCTAATGAACAATTTTTTCATTGCATTAGGAATTTTCTTTGGTTTATACCAAAACCAAGTTTACTGATAATCCTCAAGTATCAGTTTTTACCACTACAATTTTGAGAAGATCTGACTAATTCTCTGGGCAAACATCAATAAAGGATATTTGCTGACCCTGAAATATTGCAAATGAAAAAGAGTACATCCTGTTGACTAGCTTAGAAAAGTTCACAAAGGGACTACAGAATAGATTCATTCCACATATGCAGTGACTTTCAGTCCCAATGGGAAGAAAGACTGAGAAATAAAGGAGTTAAACTATCATTTTTACTTCTCAAGTTTAGATCATAATTGAAGAATTTATCAGTGCTATGGAATTCCTAAGCCAAGGAAAGATAAAATAAATAGGTCTTTTGCCCAAAGTTGATTAATAATGAGTAAAGAAGGTTTGAGTGGACATATCTTCATATCCCTGAGATCCCACCCCCTCGCTTCAGAATTAATGATTACAGTGAGAGATATTAGATTAGAAAGTGAAGTTACTCACCATGGAGGAATCACTGCTTCCACTCCCGATCGGAGCTCCCTCAGCACAGGTTGGGAGGTGGGTAGAAAGTTGACTAGCCCTGCCCCCATCTATGACATCACAATCTACCTCATAAAAGGTAGTGAAAGTGCTCTGAACTCCTGTCTGATTTCCGAGAGATACAGAAAAGAGAGAGTGAGAGAGAGAGCAAGAGAAAAAATACCCGTATCCTACTTGGGGGATTAGGGAACTGGAAGAGGGAATGGGTTGCTTACTGGGAGAAAGAGGTATTTGATGAAATTTAGTGCTGAAAGAGCTAAGTGTGGGCCTTAACATTAAGCAGCCCAGTCACTTGAATTTCTCTTTGGGTCTTGAACTGATAAGGGAACCATTTGGGTGGAGGATGAAGAAGCACCCTGCCATATCAGGCATTGTAAGGGACAATTATAATGGGTTCAAAGGGGATGAATCCCCTATTCAAAGCATTGAACATCACCAAGAGAAAAATCAAGCCTGAAGCTTTTAAAGCCTGGAACAATATGTAAGGAGCCCAGTTATTGTTCTTAGAGGTTCCATCGCCCATTGTAGGACTTTTGTCAGGCAGTCAACTCTGTACACCCAGTCAGTACATGGTGCTAAGGGGATACTTACCTCTTTTATTTTGTTGCATTCATTGTTAGAACTGCAACTGCTTTCATTGCTCCTTTTTCCACCCAAGGGTGGTTTGTGTGAAGGACATAATTAAAAGATAAGCCAATAACCAATGCCTATTTCTACCTCTAGAATTCTTTCTTAAATTTTTCTCAATATAAATTGTTATGGACAATCGATATTTTTTTGTGCGTACCAAGTTTACTGCATATCTAAAAGGGAGTAGTTATCTTCAAAACTGTACAGAAATCAAATGCCAAGATTTCTACAGTGATTAGATTCTCAGCACTCAGAAGCCAAGTTTATGTGAAACAATGATGCTAATTAACTGACTAAATGTCTTTTACATAAGCAATTCTGCTATAATCCCATGGTCATAGCTTGGTTTAATGTCTGAATCCGGTTCTTATGAGAAATCAGATAACTTATGAGAATATGTAGCACACTAAAGTATTTTTAAATGGCAATTTAAAGGTTTAACATATCAAATAATTAACATTATTACATGTATACTATTGCAAAATAAAATAATGGGTGATATTGAAGAGAAGGCAGATCCTGAAGCCATTGGCATAGAAGCCAGACCTCGGCCTGCCTAGTGAAATATATGAAAAGTGAAACTATAACTTTCCACAGAAAAAATTTTAGCAAAAGTAAAGATTCAGAATGATAGCTTGCAATTTGTGGCTTCACAAATGGGTAAAACCTAAAACCTATTTCCATAGCAGATACACAAAATTTCAAATTTGGGAATTTTAAGCCAATAGAGTTCTATTTCTAATCCTATTCTTCTTAGTGAAGCCAGTATATAAGTATATTATAATAATCACAATTTAAAATTAAGTAAAATTGGCAGATTAGGGAGCAGTTTGAAAGACAGAAGCTACTAAATTCAAATTTGTTATGAATTTAGCAACATCACTCCCATTTTGTCCTTGAAAACAAATGTTAAAGACATTTAAAGAATGTCTTTAAATACAAAAGGCATAATATCAAGCATGTAAGAAAACTGGTATTTTTTCCTCTATTTGACTTTTTTGGTGCTTATTAGAGAAAGCAATGAAACTCCACATATAGATATATTTTCCCTGCTGATTCCTTGTCTTTATATTCTATAATACTAAGTCTAAATTCAGATTCTACATACAACAGCATTTATTTCTGAGAATTTTGCAATTAATAGCCCTGTGAAGTTTCATTTTCTCTCAACTTTTACATATTAGATTATTGACTAGCTGGCTTATCCCTGCTTTCATGTAACAGTCCCATTTGGATTTAGAAAATAAGCATCTCCTAGTTCTCCCATTCTAGAGAATACATTAGTCATTTACCATTATTTCTCAGTACAAAATTTACTATTTAGGAACTTGTTTGAATCTTCTCACATCTCATAAAAAATGTAAAGGCTATTAGGATTAATGAGGCAATTGTCCATTCTTCCAATAAACATCTCAATTTTTACTGCCCACAAAGAAGATATACTTCTTCCAACATTAAGGTATTAGAATAAAACTGGAGTTGAGTACTTTGAAAATATTGAAATAGAACAAACTGAACTAAGGTCATAATCTATCAGTGTTCTCATTAATTACCTACTGTCTTATTTGGGAATGGAGTATGATTTCAGGAACCCAATGCAAAACTAGGCTGCATCTAAAGGATGCAGAGTAATAATCTGTGCTGACCTTTTAGATTAATTTAGTATGATTGATTGTGATAATGCCTTTAGTTATGATATTAGTCAAAACAAGACAGCTTTCTTTGACACAGGATGCAATGCCAACAAGATACAATAATCTCCAAATTCCTCTCAGAATCTATCCTTTTGACATTGTCCATAAAAATTGTTTTACTGAAACTAAGGCTTTTGTGCATACTTTCCATGATATTGAATAAATAGAGGAGTAGCCCTCCAAGAAAGAATATGAAATGATTGTAAGATTTCATAATCAAGAGCTCCCATAATTAGACTTCCAGTTGTACTTTATTCTGACCAGATAGCAGTAGAGATTGTTTAAAATTTCTGTTTGAGAGGTTAAAACTGATTTAATTTCTTAGGACAAAAGATTAAGTAGAGAGAATAATTTGTGCGCTCCAAAGAATAATCTCCAGATGCATTTACAAAGTAATTAATCTTGGAAGACACGATCCAGCAGATGTCATGCAATTTGACAGTGTTATTATTGAAGAGAAATATCTCAGTAAGAGAGATTTCAATAAATATTGATAGCAGTAGATTTGAATTAGGAGCTCCTAAGTAAAGAGATCATGTTTTCATTTTGTTTTATGGCATTGCCTCACATATAAAAATTTGAGCTGAAAAGAGTGTATGGTTCGTAGAAGATGATGTTGACGGGCAACACTGCAGGACATTCTTCCTCAGCTGCAAAATAGATTTGCCAAAGAAAATGAATGAAAGAGGTCAAGAGACAGGTTGTAGAGATTTGGCCGAACATCTAGTCAGAGTTCCAGTCAAGTTCTTTATCAGCAAGACATCTGCACAGATGAAGGTACTCAGAGAAAAGTAATAAGCAAGATAGAGTACTGTTGAGGAAAGAAAGATTAAAAGTCTAAATTAAGAAAGCTTTCCTTCAAGAAAATAAGATTAGGATGAAGTATTTGAAATATATGTATTGCCTACAAGGAAAATGACTGTTCAAGATAGAATGAGATGATGTGCTCTGAACGAATAAAAGAAGCCTGAACTAAGAAAACTTCACATTGTCCATCTAGAAGGCTTTCCTATTTATAAGATACATACACCATAATGTGGCACATATTTCTCTTCTAAGAGCTGTGATCAAAGCTATATTTTATAAATCATTTAAATTGGACTGGAGTAAGCACTTGACAATATGATCTGTAGAGACAGAATGTAGACGACAGTAAGTTAACACACTTTTATTTCTAGAACATAGTGAACCAAGAAAACAGTTAATACACCAAGATAACCATCAACAGAAACCTCGCTATCCTAGCAGAGAATCTTAAACATTTCAGTGATCTGAAAAACTAAATGGGAAAAAAATAGAATACATGTTCTAATAAAAACACAATGGACAGAAAAGTTTGTCCTTTTCATGCAAATTATTTTGTGTTGAAGAATAATAATATTTAAATACCTAAACTCAGCCAATATTTGTCACTATACCTTTTACATAGTAGGGATGCAACAGAAATGTGCTCAATGAACCAGATAAATATTCTTATGTGAACAAAAAATAAATGCAACTCTTTGAAGCCCTGATTGTTAGTTTTTATTGGAAAGTAAGAGTTCTTGACTCATATTCAATATGAAATGCTCTGTCTTTTATAGATAGGATCATTTATTTCTGTAACACCAGTAATATTAACAATCTTCATGATCTGAAAAGGCTGCTCTAAAAATAGCAATGTTAGAACTTTCAACTATAAATCATGACAACTTATGGAAATACTGGTTATTTGGTTTGTTTTGTTCTTGGGCTTTTCTGGGGTTTTTATTTGTTTTTTGTTGTTGTTGTTGTTGTTGTTTTTTGGCAGTATTTGGGATTGAATCTAGGGCCTTCACATTGAGCTATATCCCTAGTTCTTATAATTTTTTTGGAGACAGGGTTCTGTTAAATTTCCAAGGCTATGTTAGAACCTACAACCCTCCTAGTTCAGCCTCCCAGAGTGTTGGGAATACAGTACAAGTTTGTACTACAATGCCAAGACTGATCTATTTTTTAAAAAAATAGTGTAAAAATTTTATCAAATCTGAAAGTATCCTCTCAAATTTGCTACAGAGCCTCTTTATTTCCTTTAGATTTGACAATGTTAGCTAATGAAAAGATATATTTTTAAATCAATAATAAAATCATCAGCTAATCTTTAGTATATAGCTTAATATTCATCATCTCTCTTAAGCCTCTTTAATAGTTACTTATATCAACTTGTTCACATTTTAACATTTTTCTCTTTAACAGCCTTCAGGTCAGAAATTCTTGGAGCAAATCCAGTAAGAACAAGAAAAAAATCACCATAGAGTTAGGTAATCAATTATAAGTAATCTGTTTCTTGATTAAAGCTGAAAAATCCTGGAATGTATAGGAAAATCAGAAATCAGGGGGTGAATTTGAAGATATTTCCAAATAAAACTATTCACTCAACTCTTTGGTTTCTCATAATTACTTGGCTGAAGTTAGGGATCTGGTCAAACTGGGTTTGCTCTTCCATATCCAAAATGGATTCAAAATCGGGGGCAGGGAGGTTTTCCTAAGACATTTCTCCCAACTATTATCTAAATATTTAAAATAATATTTTTAATTATTTAAAGTTGTTTTAAAATGAATTTTTACAATAAATTTAGATACTGATCACATATAGACAAGTACTCAAGATTAGAATATATCTCATGTAGACACTGTATAAACCAGTACTTCTTCCATTGGTTTGTCTAGGTTGCACAAATATCCCAAGTACATGCAATTATCTCTCCTCCTTTGAATATCTCCCGTGAATGCAATTTTCAAGTTTGAACACAGTATTATTAT